ATTCGCGATACGCGGTAGTGTATCGGCCAAGTCGCGCCTGTTAACCTCACAACAAAACGACGAGAGCTATCGGGTATCTATACACGACACAACTTGCCCTTCCACTACCCTCAACTGATTTTTCATCAATTAAAAAAAAATGCCACTATTTAGACGAAAACTGTCCTTAGTGATCCTATATAAATCACCAATCCGCTTTCCACTGATGCAATTATTAATTTAATTCATTCAATATTTACGAAGATATGCACATAGCAAGGAACTAGCATGTACATTTTTCGCGTTCCAATTATCTTCTAAACGAAAACGGTCAGACTTGAACCATTAAGTTGGCAGCGCAACTCGAATTCTTATTTTTTGCATCCCAGGAATTGCCAACAGTCTCTTACTATGGAGAATAGAGGGAAGGAGGGCAAACCATGGCCATATAATACATGGACTGCGAGTTCCCTATCTCTCCTGTGTATTGAAAAAAGCCCGAAACGGACAGAGAGTATTGCATTTGGCGCCGGTTTCCTTCTCTGTCGAACGGTGCCGAAGAGGGGGATAGTCGCCATTGCATAGTGAACCCCACTCCGTCACCGTTCTTACTCCATTCTCAGAAATGTTCGAATAAGAGAGAAAGAATCGACAAAACGGCGCTCCTTTTCTATTTCTTGCAGCCCCACCACCCGAACCCCGTAGTCTATGTATTCTATGTCTATGGGCCAAACAGAGGCTGGTAGGACCACTGAAATCTAACTATACTGGAAGGTGTTATGTCCTACCGTAGTAACTAGGAGGACAGTGGCGCCAATGGAATTTAAAGCGCCAATTTTAATTGTAGATTCGTTAGCCGCCAAAACTCTGATGAGCACTCCATCGAAGTCCAATTGTTTAATCCCAGAATATTTGGTTGGAAGGGTTGAATTGTGAAATAAATTCAACACAAGTGCTTAAGAGAGCACACAAACACTCTTATTAAAAATACTTCAACTTCAGACTTTAAACTTTGCACCACAAAAAAAATGAATTTAATAAACTCTAGAAAACTATACTGAGAAACTATTTGAAGAGAGAAGCTGGAAGCTGAAAGTTTCACCACGAATATCCACGATGGAACTGACTTAAACTTAAACTTAACTCCAAGGGTTGGGTCCAGCAACCCCACTGGACCAAAAGTTGCGCGCGCAATCCTGGCCCAGGGGAGAGGGAAAAGTGAAACTCAAGGAAAAGCGGGGAAATGAAAAAAGGGGAAGAAGGGGAGGGTGTGACGTCGTGAAACTTCGTCGCGAAGGGTCTCAGGCCCTCAGCCTAGCGAAACAATGAGCAAAGGAGAGCCCACACGTGTTGGTCACGTGAAACAGAGAAACTTTCGAAATAACCAGAACTGAGATTTTACGACATGGGACCGTAATCGTTAAATTTATTTTCTTCTCTAAATTTTGGATTTTCGAGGAAAGTGTTTACTCAACGAGAATTTTGGAGGGTTGTAAATTATAAGAACAAAACTCAAGTATTTGACATTTACTATTTCCGTAACGGTTTTTCTTATGCTTGCGATGCTGTTTTTCGTTCTCTTTGTCCATTGTATTCCAGACTTTCTTTATTCTTCTATTTCCGGTATATTTTTCAATTTTCTGAACTATGTAAATTATTTTCCAACAATAATTCGAATCTCGCGGACTATTATGGCCGATTAATAGCGCCATCTATAGATTTCAACGTCAAGACATCACAAAGGTGCACTGCCAAGCTGAACGCGTGAGAGGAATCGTTTTGTGAGATAGCCTATAAAGGTGAGGCCACCTGTCCCTTTCTATCATTCTGCGCAAGCGCTGTACGAGTGCTCAAAAGTTTAGCCTCCTTTCTGCCTGGAGTATTTGGCTCGGCTCTTCGTGATATCATCCAACAATTACCACCCATAAAATCATTAATTGAGGGAAAAAATGAATTGTCGCACATGAGTCAGGATAATTAAGGAGGAGTAATCAAATTTTTGATGTGAGTGATTCAAATTTTACAGTCAAAATGGTGCGCAATTGTTGTGTCAAGGACTGCAAATCATTCTGGCATCCAAATGATAACCTCTCGTTCTTCCGGTAAGTACACAAAGATTTATACAAATATGAATATTTATCGATAATCAAGTTTATACAATAACTAATAAATACTTGTTATGGAATCAGTATTCGCTATTTTATCGGGAATGAATTATTTCTACACTTCTGGTTTCCTTTCAAGACACCACAAGTTCTGGAAAAGTGGTTGGCCGTTGTCCCTAGTAAAGGCAACATTTCCAAGAGGTCAGTGGTTTGTAATAAACACTTTAAAAACTTCGATTTTAATCATGAAGGGTCCCGGAGAACTTTGAAACATATTGCTGTGCCGGGTATTTTCCCAAGTGATGATTCGGTGAGTGTAATTTCTTCTCTTGTATAATTTTTCATCACTGAGTTCTCCAGATTTTTTATGTTCTTTATAAATGAAGTATTCCATGCCAAATGAGTCAATGGCTGACCCCCACTCTCTTGGATATCGACAGCGATTTTTTAACCATTGGGGGGCTAAAAAAAATATCTTCCAATTTTTTCAACTGCCCATTCCGGAAATATTATTTTTTTTCTCCGTTTTTTTCATTTTTTTCGAATAGCTTTGGTACTATTTACACGATTCTAATCTATCAAGGGTCAAAATGTTTCATTTCCTAGCATTTATAAGAATTTGTTGGATGATTTGTTTTTATTTTCAATCCCTAGGTGTTCATAATAACGAATTTTCGAGAAAAAAATGTGAACTTTGAAGATTACGTCAGATTTTTTTTCCTGTGATTCTTTTAATCGAAACAAGTATTTTCAGCCGTGATACAAATTGCTTTTCATTTTGGATCTATTTCAGTTTTAATTTTTTTTTCTTTTTAAAATTCCACGTATTCGGTCAAAACGCCGCAAAATGATTTTGATTATGTATCGCAAAAATATATAACATACAGGTATACATTTGAATTCACTCCATACGATTTATAATCGAAGTCAATCAACGTCATTTTGAGGTAATTTTACCACATTTACGGAATTTCGAAAAAAAAAATGAAACATCGAGCTACGCGGTAGTGTATCAGGCCAAGTCGTGCCTCATAACCTCACAACAACAAACCGATAAGAGCTACCAAGTATCTATAAACCACACAACTTCCCCTTCCACTACCCTCAACTAATTTTCCATAAATTAATGAAAAATGCGCTCACTTAGACGAAAACTATCCTTAGTTACACTATATAGATCACTAATCCGCTTTCCACTGATGCAATTATTAATTTAATTCGTTCAAAATTTGCGAAGATATGCACATAGCAACGAACTGGCATGCACATTTTTCACATATCCATTATGTTCTAAACGAAAACGGTCGCACTCAAGCCATTGAGTTGGCAGCGCAACTCGAATTCTCACTTTCGCATGCAGGAATTGCCAACAGTGTTCTACATTGTATAGTGTCATGGAGAATAGAGGGAAGAAGGCCACATAGCGGCTGGTGGGACCCCTAAAATCATGTGACGCAGCATGCAATTCAGATTGATTCCGATGGTGGCGGTAGTAGTCACTCGCGTGGGAAAACAGATCATTAGAATTGTAACATTAATCCTATTGAAAATTTAATTTACTGTCCGTGCAACAATTTGACAATATTATATTAATTCCTCAACAAATTCCTCAACAAATATATGTGAAACCCTTGCTGAATATAAAAAAAATTACAGATGTTTTCTGAATAGGGATCCATGAATGACGATGCTTTGAAAAATAATTTATGAGAGAACTATGCAAATAAGCAATAAAAATCCAACTGAGATAAGAATAGCACTATCAATAACGAAGAACAAAACCCGGTAATTCGTTCAAGAGATATGGAGCATATAGTTTTCGCCAGGAAAGAAGGAACATCGGGTTTAAGCCGAAGGCCCCCCACCACTGCCCACCCCGGCATGGAATGTATCACTCTGCGCGCGCCAAATTCGAGCGCAATCTTCAAATCAATTCCAGTTTTCACTGAAGTCTGATGAAAGGTACTCATCATTACTCAAAATAGGAGAATAATAATAGATAAATTATACATCCATAACCTCAATATTCTTAAGAGGGACCCAGGGTAAATTTGTAAGTCTTTAGTTGATGAAAATCACTATCTAGTGACTTTTGACATATCATGAAGTACGTAAAAACTAAACAAAATTTCATACGCAACTCATTTTACCCCGTACGTTATGCGAAATGGTGGTTTTTCGTGATTTAGCTTTGAAATGCTCCTCGCGCCACAATTTTCATCCAATTCAAACTTTGTTTTTACTTCTTTCATACCGCATAAAAATTATTATTCTGAGTAGTGGAACATTAAAATAGTACATAATAGGTGTTCAATATTGGAAAATGGAGAGTTGGATGAAGAATCAATTTTGAACCGAATCAATTTAAAATCTTATCCCTTTTGATTTAAACCGAAAACAAGTGGGAAATTACGTATTGCATATGGTATGGTTATTTTTGCTAAGAAATTAGCAATATGCTTTCGAATAGTTATTTGCACATAATTTCTTTCTATCATGTATAGTTCATTATTTATTTCATTTTTTTAAATTTAATAAGATTTCGTTGTAACTAATTTTGTCAGATTTTCAACTGAGTTGAATGATATCATCGCCATTATTTTTATTATCCCTTTCTTCTATACAAACAANCGAATCAATTAAAAATCTTATCCCTTTTGATTTAAACCGAAAACAAGTGGGAAATTACGTATTGCATATGGTATGGTTATTTTTGCTAAGAAATTAGCAATATGCTTTCGAATAGTTATTTGCACATAATTTCTTTCTATCATGTATAGTTCATTATTTATTTCATTTTTTTAAATTTAATAAGATTTCGTTGTAACTAATTTTGTCAGATTTTCAACTGAGTTGAATGATATCATCGCCATTATTTTTATTATCCCTTTCTTCTATACAAACAATTTGCTTTTTTTACAGTTCCATCGCTTCCCGCAGCTAAAATGTTAATTCAAAAATTTGAATTATTCGAATAATTTTTGCATTCTGAAGAACAATCAGTAGCCTTCAAAATGGTGCATAATAATTCTGATTCAATCGTCTTTCCATCAAGTTATTGCAGATTGTTCCCATTTTTGCTTCCGAATGGAAGCTTCATAATCGTTCAAATTTATGTTTTGTACATTTGTGTTATATCGGCCCAGTATGATCCAAAAAGTCCGAAAATGCAATTTTTAGACCTCTTATTTCTTCAGTTGTTAGTTAATGTATGGATGGAATTAAATCTTTTTTTCCAATGTAGGTATTATAATAATAATAATTTATTTCAGCAATTAATACATGGTATTAATCATGCAGGGGAGTTCCTGCTACATAATTAAAATATAATAGTAGTGTTGGCAAAAAAAATAAGAATAAAAAGCATATTGAAAATTAAAAATTATTATGCATGAGTTATAGCATGTTAACAAACAGCGAATCCGATGAAGGTGAAGCCAAATTTGAAACATAGAAAGCCAAGTCCTTGATAAAGCGCAGTAGAATAAACAAAAAGCGCTGAAACAAAGCATAGAATTAGTCAAAACTCAAAAAAATTACCAGAATGACAAATAGTTCATAATTTGCAAAAGCTGAGCTCAAAAATCAGAGTTACAAAACCTTCTATGAAATTATAGAAACAATCATTAATCAATCATCAATCAATCATTAATCTCAGAAGCTCTCAACTGCAGGCATTTTTTCAAGAGACAATATAAAGTTTTAATATTTCTATGATCGTTCGAGTTAAAATATGCGGAAATACTGGAAATAGAGACGTAGTTCGGGTCGAGCAGATAATTAGGAAGATAAGGGGACCTGAGGGAATGGTAAAAGGGACAGAAAAATAGGATGTGTGGGGGGTCTTCGAAGGCCTGGGAGAGGCATAAGGTACAGAGCTGGTTAGGATCCAGCCGGTATCCGATTTGGTTGATGAATATGCTTCTTGCATGTATTGAAACGAGTCTCAATTGGATTTTAGCCCTAAGAAAATCAATAGGGCATCTTTCAGAATAAAAATCTCTGAAATCATCCAGGGGATGCCTGAATGCCTTCAGTAACAGGGAAGACGATGACAGGTAACGTTGATAGTCCTCAAACCTCTCTCGAGCCAGGTATCGATCCAAAATGCCAGGGATCCGCAGCCTCCACCAGTTCGAGGACAGGTTAGTCCACAGATCATCACAATTGAGGCCATCCAGACAGAGCTTCAGCTGCGAGATCCAATTGTATTTGGCGGTAAAGCGTTGATTTGATGTTGGAGAAGATGCTAACTCTGTCAACCTAAGCAGACAGACCTTTGGAAGGCGACTGTCCGACATGTTCAGGACCTTAACGATCCAGAGCAGGGCCTGTTTGATGACCTCTAGAGAAACTCCATGAATGCCAGTTTCAAGTCGTATAGAGTAACCAGGTGTGTATCTCGGGAGATTGAAGAGCCTTTTAAAGAAGCTCAGGTGAGCAGCTTCGAGGACTGGAAGATGTCGTAGAGCCCATAGGGATGAAGGATAGAGCAAAGTGGAGGTGACAATGCTAGAATGCAACCTCTTCGTGCCTTCCCAAGAGTCAGCCCCAATGGACGAAAGAAGTCGTAGTACTGCAGAAGAAGCAACGCGGGATCTTGAGGCAGCAGCAGCAGACGCAGCTCGGCCAGTGGCTGTTGAAGTAAACTTCACTCCGAGATATGTATATTCAGTAACTATTTCAACGGGATTCCCGTTGAGCTGGAATGCGTGGTTTGCTGAGGGTAGTCGTCCTCCTTTTCTGAATATCATCACCTTGGTTTTTCCAATATTGATTGTCAGGCCATTGTCAGAGCAGTACTCTTCAAGGATTCTCAGCTTGAGTTTGAGATCAATAGAGCTAAATGCTAGGATAATGAGATCATCAGCGTAAAGCAGCAGAATGACATCCTTACGCCCATCGATGTCCACTCCTCGAGCACCCTTGACACGAAAAAAGTTCTCGATGTCCGCTAGATATAAATTGAAGAGGAGTGGACTCATTTTTTCACCCCGCAGAACGCCCTCGCTCACATTGAAGTCCTCAGTATACCCTTCAGATGTTCTGATTCGGATAGTGGCACGGTCGTAGAGATTTTTGACGACCCTAATGACCTTCGAGCTTAGTCCCAGCTTCAGGAGTTTTTGCCACAGCAGGTGATGAGGGACAGAGTCGAACGCTCTTCGAAAATCAACGAAAAGCGAGTAGACTCTGCCCCCAGGTAGACGAAGTCTATTGTGGACTATAGATGTAAGGATGAAAATATTATCCATAGCACCCCTCTTCTGGCGAAAACCAGCCTGGTCCTCTGGTATGATGTTGTGAAGCTCAGAATCGAACCAGGGAGGTTTAGGATGGGTGTTGCGACGGTTTCCACTCCGACTGATTGATTTGGACATAGCCAGATTCAAAGCCACTTCCCGGATACCTGCTAACAGATTAACATTCAGCTGATCAATAGAGTGTACCGATGCCGTTACCTGGAGCCTCGGAGATTTCTCAAGAAGGGCTACATAATCTTTCTGGAGTGGATGCTTCCAGAGCAGAGATAGCTCCGAAGCCAAAGGAGCTGTTGTAGGCCTAGAGGAGGGTGAGCCAGGTGCATCAGGAGTAGCAGGCAGCAATCTCACCACGTGATCAGCTAATATGGAAGAAACAGGGAGATGATTTGATCCCAGCAGCTCCGAAGTCACTTGAGAATCAAGAACTAACTCAGTTATGTCCAGACTGGCCCATACGAGATCAAACGTGTTGGCGGTTCTATTGCTGGTGAATTTGGCCGGGGTATCCGACCTCCTTCTTCCATTCAGTAGAACAAAGTCATTTTCTAGCATGAAGGACATCAAGGACTCTCTTCTCTTATCAGTTTTTTCTACCAAGTAGCGTCTGGTTTCGTACAAGGAGGTCCCCAATATTGGCTTCAGAGGGGAGATCATCGTCGTAGTCCGCTATTGAGCAATTGAAGTCCCCACCAAGAATGAAAATATCCTCCTTAAACTCACATTTCGAACGTAAGTTGTTGAGGGTCAATTGGAGCATTTCCAAGACTGGATCCAGCTGTAGACTTGGGCAGAGATATAACGAGCCAATTATCGCACTCCAGGAATAGGAAATAATTCGAAAGAATATCCACCAGGGTGAGATATCGAGTATTTCAGGTCGAAGATCTCTGTGGATGAGACAGAGTAAGCCACCACTGCCTCTGTCTCTTGCTCTGTCACGAATAGCTGGAGATCAGATACTGGCATGGTTCCTGAGAGCTGAGGGAATAAATTGAGGAGAAGGATTTAACAGCATCGTTTCTGAAAGACATAATATTTGAATTTCTGGGCTGAGTAGATTATACGAGACATTTGTCATACCTTGAGCGTTCCAAAACTGTATCTTGACTCTAATTGTTTCAATTTGGCTTACAAGTTTTTTTAATTAGATCCTGTGGACGGATTGGCAGTACGAGGAGAGTTGATTCTGCTCTTGCTGGCTGCTCTGGGTTTGATGACCAGCTTCTCCTCCACATAGTCCCAGCCCCACCAGATACCGTCGATCTCCAGACCACTGTAACTGAGCTTCACCCTTTTTCCTTGCTCCTTGGCGACCTTGCCCAATTCTCTGACCTTCCTGTAGATTTTCTGCTCCAAGGGTGAGAGGTCAGGGTCAATGAAGACTTTGCTGTTCTTACTTTTTCCTAGTTTGGCTTTGTTCTTCATTACCGTCTGTTTATGCTCCGGACTGGGCAATTTTATAATAAACATCTTCTTCTCGGCACCGACCATTCTGACCTCCAGAACAACATCCACCAGGCCAAAGTTCGAAAGTAGAAACTCATCTACAGTCTCCTTGGGGGAACGATCTCCTGCCCAAGCCTTTCACAACGATGTTGTTGGCTCTATTGATTTTCTCATGATGGTCGAGCTGTCTTTTCAGCTCAGCTAGTTCTATCCTCAGCGATGAAGAGCCTACATCCTCTGATTTCGTTTCAAGCTTCACTAGTTTTTCTTCAAGGGCCTTAGATCCTACATTTTTCGATAATTCCAGTAATTTTGTTTCTAAAATGGAAATCTTGGAGGTTAGCTCTTCAATGTGTTTCTTCGATTGAGCATCTCTAGTTTCAATAAACTGTTTAAAGTCATTCAATTGCTCTTTCATAAATTTGTTATCTTTCATTGATTGTTCAACTAAATCGGATTTGACTTTACCTGCAGTGCAGAGTTCATTTACTTTGAACAGCAGCATTGATAACATCTCCTTCACGTCTCCTTTCTCAATCAGATTTTGGATTTCATGGCCAGGAAGAGGAGCCGGATGGCTCAAGGCTTCAGGAATGGTAGGATCGGAATCAATCACCATTGCAATGATCTCAGGGGCACAAAGGGATCTGTTGAGTTTTTTATTTATTGGGGATTCGAGATACGAGCAAGTCGAACCAGAGTCCTTATCCAACTCCGCAATATCTCTGTTTCTTTTCTTGTAAAATTCAGATAGGGTGCTAGGGGAATCGGAGCGCTTTCTTTGACCCTGAGATTTCACTTTTAGAACATTCGTTTTTGGAGGTTTGGCCCTTTTTATACCATCCTCTGATTTTGTTGATTTTGGAGTAGAGCAGAATGACTGGGAGGTTAGGAGGCTGGACCAGGCTTGGATGCTAGCAGATGAGTTGGAACCGGTATAGGCACTTGAGGAAGAGTGGACCAATGCAGGAAGAGGTTCTCCTTCGGCAGTTTCAGATGGACTCGACGTGATGACAGCAATTTCTGGGATAATTAGTATTTTCTTTGACACATTACTCATGCCCCTTTCTATGGCAGCTAACCTCCAAATTTCGAATGAACAACAAATTGCAGCATGTGACAGTAAAAGATGTAAAGTGGCACTTTATCAATGCGGAGATGTCGGGGATAATTTATCTGGTCAAAACGATATGGATTGACGAATTTCAGAACTACAGATAATAATTAATTTACAAAATAATGAAGAGCACTTTCAAAACACGTGCAGTGGCGCTCTATCCGCAGCGGAACCCCCAATGTAGGTATTGTTGAGCCCTAGCAATCGCCATTAATTAAAATTTCATTCATTGATTAGTTTATTTAATTGGCGAATGTTTTCGAAAATCGGTTGTTCCAAGATTAAATTATTGAATTTAATAACTGAAAAAAATGTTTTGAATTCATTAAATAATGGCTTCAAAAAATTGGTTTGAATGTACTTTTGACCGAGTTCGAAGATGAAGGCAATAGCAACAATCGTTATTTTGATTTATTCCCGGCTGGGTGAAGCGGAAATTTTTTCTCTCTAAATTCTAATTCTCTTAGAATTCTAATTCTCTTAGATTAAATTATTGAATTTAATAACTGAAAAAAATGTTTTGAATTCATTGAATAATGGCTTCAAAAAATTGGTTTCACATGTACTTTTGACCGAGTTCGAAGATGAAGGCAATAGCAACAATCGTTATTTTGATTTATTCCCGGCTGGGTGAAGCGGAAATTTTTTCTCTCTAAATTCTAATTCTCTTAGAATTTTTTCTTTTTTTTTTTTTTTTTTTTTTTTTTTTTTTTTTTTTTTTTTTTTTTTTAAATACTCAAAAATTGTTCATTTTTTGAAAAGCGAAGTTAAACGATGATAACGAGAGATATATTGGTTGATTTAATTTTTATGATGATTCTTGAAAATTTCGAATTTTTCATAAATTTTGTTTAAAGTGAGCTTTCTCGTGGTTTCTTTAAATGTGATGTCTCAAATTTATTCCAGCATCTATAAATCTATCTATCTATTTATTTCTCGAGATACAAAGATCCCATCAGAAGGGTGGAGAGAAGTACATAATTCTTACAGTTGTGTGTATTTGGTATTTCTGTGTGACAATTATAAAAAAGAAAGCGAACACTAGAGAGCTATTTGATTGAGGTAGTTTTAAACTGTGTATCTATACAGATTCAAAATTGCTTACATTCATCCTTAGCTTAAATTCGCTGTATTTCTGACTAACAAACTACCTTGAGTAATCTACCTAATAATACCTGGAAGCCTTCAAGTTCATTCAGCTTCTTGAGCTTCAATAATTTCACTTCTCTTAGTTAACATTTCTTTCATAAAATAATAAAAATCTTCACAAAAAGAGGAACATGTCTCCATTACTTAAAAAAAGTCAAAGGTGGGATTGTCAGGGTTCTGACAGTCCTGTAAAATAGGGGCAAGATATTTCAAACGTAATTCATAAAAAATAGTGCACTCAAATATTAGGTGCTTTAACATCTCTGCCTCTTCTTGCTAGCAATAATGACACTGCCCCTTTAGGTTAATTTTGATGATTCCTGAAGGATGACTAATGAAACAGCTATGAATATTAGAAAGCCTCACCTGCGCCAGCACTTTTTTAACACAAAGGAGGTGCGCTTGTTAAACAAATAATTCACCACAGGCTGGTCCGGGAACCTGAGAATAGTAATACTCTACTGTAATCCCTTCTTCTAAGTGAAATTTCAAAATTGGTAAGAGCTCTTGTTTTCCATGCAGCCCAAACAGTTGGGTCCATACATGCCCATATATCAAGCGAGTCACATTCGATCAAAAAGCTTTTAAATTGAAGCTGCCAATTATGTTTCAGAGTGCTCGAGGGACTCGTAGCTAGAGTTAGCATTCGTTTCAGACAGATTTTGGGCAGATATGAATCACTGCATTTCAAAATGTGGATGTACCAATTCCATAGGTGATTCACGGCATAGAGCTGCATAGCGACAAGATCAAGCTCAAGTCGCAGGGCCCATCCAGGCGTAGGGGAGGGTGGGGCAAAACGGCCCCCCTTCAATTGTCAATAACTTGTGAATGACATTGTGAAAATTCCCAGTTCCAACTTCATTTTGAAGATAATTTTTCATTCTTCAAAACGAGCTCTAACCTCATCCCAATCGGATTATTGAATCGGAAAATATTGACGATTGAAGGGGAGGCGTTTTGCCCCATTCTCCCCTACTTTTGGCTAGGGTTAGAAATTTTTTGAAAAAATAAGTCTACAGGACTTCAATTTCCTCCCGCATTGGGAGTCCCCATGCAGGAAAGGCGTAGAAAATAATGGAGGTAACCATGCTTTGATATAATTTGTAACGAACATGTGGGGATGTTCGTTAGGAACACTAAAAACGATCTGGAAACAGCGAGACTCCTACAACGTTGAATTAAAATCCGTGAGTAAGAATCCTAGAGCGTGAGAGTGAGAGTCCCTTATCCACTTCCGAGTGGCTTATTTCCGGTTAGAGTTATCGGTTCCGTTTATTAGTAAAGATTAGTAATTACGCGTCTTTGAGGGCCCAGAAAAATTATCGTGAAGAAGGGCCAAAATTACAGAGTCATCCGGTTCTTTTTATGGGGTTCACCCTATTGTTAATCTTGCGGGTAATCGAATAGGTCCGGCTGAAATGCTGGCGCTCCAATTTCGTTGGATTTTCAGGGGTTAATTGGTTACGTTTTTGTTTTGGGTGGAAGGTTGTTCGGAGCGAGTGCAACCATCGTCTCCAATGAATTGTCAGGTTGCCTTGAGGTTTTTGATGAGAGTAACGAGTTGAGAAGGAATTAGTAGTGGAGTAATAACAAGTGCCGGTAACTTGTCCTTTAACCCCGAAAATCCCGGAGATCCCATCCGTGGGAAGCGCCAAAAACCCTTAGTAATTATCCGAACGACAATCAGTTCGGCCTAGTCTCGCGTAATAATTAATAAAAAGGAACTAGTTTTGTGTTAGGTGATTAGAGAAGAGTTAAGTGAGATTTGAATAATCGCGCCAGGTCGTGAGAGTCGCGATTAATTGTTGTTAGATTCGCACCTTCGAGGGGCGTGTCCGCACCAATCAAAATTCGGGTGATTGAGCGGTGAATTCCACGCTCTGAGGTGTCTCGAGACGCTCGTGAGTTCGGCAGTTCGGCGTTGGCTCTTGACCTGACC